GATTAGGCCTACTTTAGTTGACAATTCTACTAAAAATATCCTTCTAATCATAGATAAATTGAAAGCTATATATGGCATGTAAAAATAATACTGTAATGAGAATTACTGAGCTGTGAAATATCAGATTGGGGATTTTATGTATGTGAAGATCAAACTGGTGAAGGATATAAGTAAATTTGGAAAAGAAGGGAAGCTGTGTCTGAGGTACATTGGACTTTTTGAAGTGATTGAATTGATTGATAAGTCTCCCTACGAATTATTATTGTATGAGCATATGTCCGATATTCATAATTTATTCCATGTGTCATCTTTGAGGAAATAGGCATCCGACTATGGGAATTGAATATATGTAGATAATGTTGAGGTACATTTAAATCTAAGCTATAGAGAAGAACTAGAAAGAATTTTGGGGTACGATGTCAAAAGGTTAAAAAATAAATAAATTTTAATGATTAAGGTATAGTTAGGCACAAAAGTAAAAAAGAAAAGCTACTTGAAAAAAAAGTCTGAAATAAGGCAATTCTAGCTTGACTTGTTTGCTTAATCTAAATTTTAAAATTTTGGGTATGAAAATTTTCTGAGGGAGGATTTTCACCTACTATAATAATGCTTAAACCTATTATGACCCAATAAGTATAGTGTGTTAGAATTTTTCTATTTTTTTTTCTTTTTGCACATGTCTAATAATGTTTTGTATACTAATGAATATCCAATTCTATTATGAAGCATGTTCCAAGGGTCTATATGCAAACAACCTAAAACCTATAATTTTCCCTTATGAGCACGGTAGCACTACATCATTAAACTCTATAATTCTGAGGATGTAAGGGGGACGTTGCGACACTAAATTGGGATGCTACTGAGTCATGCTCTCTATTGAGAGCACTGATGCACTATGGTTCTGAACGCCACGATGGGAGATCAATATTTAATTAAAATACTAATTTCCACTTCATTTTCCATTTTGTTTGGCTTAGAGATAGAGGGAGAGAGATTATAAAGATAGAAAGCCAAGTTTCTTAATTTTTAATAATACAAAAAATTTGGGGATTTTATGATTAAAATTATAAATTTGTAATGTTTCAACTAGGATAACTTCACATCTACTAAATTTTCACTGTAAAACTTTTCGTATATTATAGGTTCGAGTATTTTAAACATTTTTATATGTTCTAAAGAAATTTACAAGAACAAATGCAAATTTTGATTTACTTCATCAACCATAACTCCTAACATGCTACTTTGAGCTTCTCCCATAAGATGGGCTACTAAACTGGTAAACTATACGATCAAATTAAAAGTAATTCATCCCATAATACTTTGTACAATCACAACTCTACTGGAACTTTGTTCATAAACTGCTTCCAGATCATGGAGGTCCATATTCAGTTATACTTTTATCTAACATGAAGTTATAAGGTTTAACAACTTGTTTATATAACACATAAACATATAGAAATAACTTTAAACTACCCTGACTCTTCATTATTCAAGCACAAATCACTTCCAATAGTTCTAGTTATGATTTGATTCTTACAAAACCATTGCTAATATACTACCAAGTCATGCCCTAGAATCTAAGAGAATAATTCAAACCTAAACAAAAGTATCTCAACCCCAATTTTTTTTCATACCCACTAGAGATACAAAACATTCAAAATATAATAAACAATGAAATACAAAATCATAACTTTTCAATTCCTCCAAAATAATCATTTATAATTGTTTAGAAGGCATGTAAACATAAAAAATACATAAATAAATATTGGACTATCAAAAGAATACCTCAAATTATGCTAGAACCTAACAACTCCTATTCAACCGGTTCTTTTCTTTTTCTAGAAATAGCATATACTTTATAGAGTGAGTAACGAGATGCTCTGTAAACTATCCAAAATTAAATTATAGAAATCTATATCCATATTTGCAGTATACAAATAAAAGTTTAAATGACATTTATAAAATAATTGAAATAACTTTACACTTAAAAACATAAATAGAGGGATTACTTATAATTATTGGTTTACATATATATATATATATATATATAGTGAACATGCATCAGAAATAGCCATGTAGAACTTGTCACTTGAACTTGAACACTATAAATATTAATATGTACCTTTTCTTCTGCTTTTTCAAAAATACCATAGTATAAACAAAATTTTATTTATACTTAAACTTAAATTATTTTATTTAGCAAAATATGCTATATATGATATATAATATGCACATATCAAGATGTTTATTTATAACTCCACTTTCATTTATACCTAGCAAGGTCAACTCACCTGCTCATAACAGATTGAGAAGTCCTACCCTAATTCCTCTTATAACTTTACTTTCACTTACAACTCCCTTGAACCTCCAACAAATACATAAGGCACATGGATGGGGCCAAAAGTAGAAACAGAACGGAACATAGTTTAAGGCCCATAGAACAGAACTTGTAGTATGCTTTAACATCGCCTACATTAGAACTTTCGTCTGCCGTGATATGCACATGAAGATATTAACCTTTTAGCATGCATGTATCACCATTAACATGAATATGAACATGTATGAATTGCTATTTGCATAATAGTTTTGGGGTCAACAATTATAATTTGCACACAACATTTGTTACATAACATTTGTTATTTGAAAAATCATTCATAAGGATGATTTAAAATATCATTTTATGACTTTAAGTAAATTATAGTCAATGCCAAAAATACCATATTAAACATGAAATAATTAAATTTATATAGACAAAACCAACTAGTGAAAAGTTGATTTCTAACAATTTAAATAACCAGAATGTGACATTCTATAAAATATCATAAATTACACAGTGAAAAACTTATTAAACTCATTAAAATCAAATTTCACCTCTTAACCTTTCATACAACTAACAGAATTGAAATAAAAAGTAAGGTATTGGGAGCCTACCTCGTGCTTGATAATTTCCCTAACATATCTGCTAGATGAATTTTGTACTTTTGCCTCCAAAGCCCCCTTCTCTCCTTTATCTCTCAACTTCCTTCTCCTCTTCAGTCAGTTGAGTGAGGAAGATGGGTGAGTGAAAATGAAAATGTATATGGATATTTTTATATAAAAACTCATTTTAGCGTATAGCGCTATGTTACTCCAACATGTAGTGTCACTACGCTCCACTAGAATATTCCGGATACTCTCAGATAGAGAGCTCATCACCATAGTGCTCCTTACTCAACGTGGCAATGCTCCCAGTTCTTCAAACAAAGAGCTCAATGTCGCAGTGTTGTCCTGACGTGCTACAACACTTCCAAGGTCTTTTTGATGCCTAACATTTCTTCAATTCCAAACTTCAAAAGTTATTTAAATGTATATTAATTCTAAATTAAACATGCACGTAGAGGTTATAAAATTCTTATGAGTTCTACAGCAAGGAATATTACACTAGCCAACTAGGAAAATACATCAAAGTTCTCCTCGAGAGTCGGCCATGCTGATCCCTAAGATGACATCATAGATTCCTAAGAAACTGCCATAACTCCTTTACTAAGAGAAAGCAATGGTCAATGGCAGTTTTCTCTTCTTGGAGAAAGTAACGGTCAAATGCAACTCTCCTCTCAAAACACCTTTTTCTTTTCCTCTACAGTAGAAGGAAGTTGCTTGCATCTTTCGTGTTCAAATAGTAGGCGGCTGTTGATATCGGAATTGTGTCCGAATTTAAGCATAATTTAAGGTAAATCAAGCCAAATAATTTTTGGAGGTCATATAAATCCAACTCCTTCATAATCAGGGATTTACGGCATAAATCTGTGTAAATCTAAATCTCATATAGAGGTAGATTTACGGATATACGGACTCGAATTTAGTGGAAGAAGCGTGCTAAAGGGGAGAAAAAATCGTTACCTTAGTGAAGAGGAACAAGCAAGACCTTGTAAGGCTTTGCCGGCATCGAGTCAATTTTTCAATCCACTGACATGAGTTGTGCGGCGGCCACTGTGCTATTGCTGACAACGAATTTCAACAAGCTGATAAGGTGAAGAACTTTTTCCTGCTCTTCTCCATTGCTCCATTCATGCAAATCTGCCTTATGCAGACAAAGCAGTAAGCTAGCTCCCGCATGTGAAGCACGTACAGCACGCGACTAAAGTGACCACTTAGTAGTCTAATTCTCATTACATTAGTTTAATTTATATTGGTAATTTATTAGTTATTACAATTATTAGTTATATAATTGCATTAAATTAATTTAGTATAATTCAAAGTCAAGACTATAATGAAATAATTATATATCAAATAATTAGTAATATAACTAGATAATTAGTCATTACTTGTAAATTGTAATTAAATTAGTCTAATTGTCTTTAAATTAGTTTAATATAATTAAAAGTTAAGACTATAATTAGTTAATTAATAATATAATTAAAAGTAAGCTTAATTTAAAATAATTATCAAAATTATTATTAAGTTTTAATGATCAAATTATTTATTATATTATTAATTATCTAATTATCAAGCTATCATACAAATTAAATTCAAAACACATTAATTTTAATTTCTAAATGAACCACCCTCCTAAATTAAATTGCCAAACAGTTTCTAAGGAATTTATCAAAATTTAACATTTCTCATACCAAACAATTTTCATAATTTAACCCCCTTAGAATTTACATGATTTACTAAATCCCACTAAAATTAAATCCAATCCAATACCGAACAGCCCTAGGTGTTTAAGATAATGCCCTTCATCCAGATAACCTCTTTTTTTCTTTTGAAAAAGTGGATATTGCGAGTAAACTCAACCTTAGTAATAAGCCTAAGCCTTTGCTCAAGCATGCCCTGGATCATTCAAATCATCTTCTCTTCTTCGAACTCTGCAAGCCACCTCGTAGTGACAAACTAGGGCTTGAGATGCCACAAGGTTTAATAAAGCGTACATAAGATGGAAAGAAATATGAAAATTTTCCTGCCATAAAAATATAGGAGAGGGGCCTTAGCCCCAAAGCGCTGATAAAAATACAAAAGCAGGTACGAAGATGGGCTCGAGGCATCTATTTCGCTTAACATGCCGAAACATCATCAACATTCTTCTCTTTTTTCCTTTCAGCAATTGCAAGGTTGAGCAATTGTTCGAACTATAAAAAGAAAAATGCACATATTTAAGTTCTATTTGGCAAGCCTCTAAACTATCACTCACTGAGATTGATAGCCTCTTTCAGCAATTTATCAACAGAGAGTTTCACATCAGTGGGAACTGAAAGTTGCTGAGGAACTGCATCAAAAGCTAATATAGTGAGGAGCCTCATCACATCTGCTAGAATCACTCTATCCACTCTGTCCACTTTTTGGTTTACAAATTTGCAATAAGTTTTTAGCTTGCAACCGCGACATATCTGTAATGATTTAACGGGCTACCACTCAGTCTGCTTTTTTTAAGAAACCATTTGAAATTGTTGATGGAGAGTGGAAAAATGGCACTTACAATATCTTCTTGAATACAGAAGAATGAACGCAATCTTTTGGATGCAAATACTGTTTTTCTCTCAACAGATGGGCAACCAAGCAAAGCGACCTTTTTCAGGTGACTTCCAGACAACCACCTGTTATTAATCATAACGGAACATTTGAGAAAGAATTGGAATGATAAGCTTCATAACATAACAGACAAGATACACTAAAGAGGTGAAGAAGATTGGCTTATTTACAATTAGAAAAATAACATCAAATAGGCGAACAGACTAACTGTCAAAATTGCATCTTCATTCATTATGTTGCACAAATATTATCTCAAAGAAAACTTCGTGAGATGTGAAGTAGCAACAATAGAGCAGTACAAATCCTATTTGTCAATTTTGTGCTCCTGCAACCAGAGCAACTGATTCAGGGAGGTTCTGTCCGTAAGCCTAAAGATGGTACAAGTTCAAATTAATTTATCTAAAAATTAAATATTTGTCATCCTTAATGAAGAAAGAAAAAAATAGAGCCAACAAAATCTAAATTCGTTTTATCTTTCGTTTTGGTGAACACCATATGCTGCAAAGCATCCAATTATGCTTCTTGCTTTCGATTTACTAAAACCAGCAAGAAGAGGGAAATATCCATTTTTCTGTCTAAAATAATGCACAAGAATTAAAAAGATGACAAGTGTCATAATTGTCTGTACCATAGGCCAACAAAGTTAATTAATGATATATTTAAAATAGATATTACTGTATACCATATTCACTGAATCATTAGATTTGAATTTGATTTTTTTAATAATAACATAAGTAAATATTATTATTTAAAGCTAATATGAATTAATGTTAATCAACATTATGATTCTATTAATAACTGAGATCAACATAGTGCAATATTGTCTTTTTTTTACAATTTGTTCCATTCCTCACATTGCAAGGGCATGGAAGTGAAAGAATGTGCGAGTCAAGTCATTTTGTAAGAACATTTCTCGCGTGTAAAATCCATTTCCAATAACATAGCCCTACGAGACCTCTGTTTTTTGCTCAACTTCATTTCATTCAATAAATCTGGGAAAGTTGAATCAGTAAATGATCTTTTGTTTGACCATTTAATACCTCGTAGATATGGCGGTTTGATCTTTTACAAACGGACGTGTTCTAGTAGTCCTATATTTTATATATTAAAAATAAGGATAATTTGATCATTTGAAAAATATAGGCGCATAGACAAGCTATAGGATGAACTAATTCAACTTTGACTTCATCAATGGATTTGCAGAAATTAAATAAGTCTAAAATGGACAAAAAATATAGGAAAATTAAGCTAGTGTGGTATCCATCAAAATATTATCATAACAGGAGCCCTTTGCTGTAAAGCATCAAATCCTGGGAGCCATAAGTAGTCACTCGTAGAAGAATCATTAGAGATCCCTCAGCCTAAAGAACAACCTCAATTTGATAAAAAGTAAAAAAATCTGTTAGGGAGGTTGTTGAGAGGCCATCACCATCATTTTCGCAAAGATTGCTAAATCAGTATTTAGATAGACAGCTCTACTTTTTTTAAACTGTTTAGAAAATTAACTACTAATGGAAATTCCATTTGCAAAAGCCTTAGAACAGGTGTAAATATGGTAAGTTCATGAAAGATATCTTAAACAAGAAGACACGATTAAGAGACATAGAGACAGTAGCTTTGACTGAAGAATGTAGTACAAGCTTGCAAAAAAACCTTCCTTAAAAGCTTAAGAAATCTGATGATTTTACCATTCGTATGGCTATAGAGGACAAATTTTGTGAGAGGGCACTACGTGATTTAAGAGCTAGTATCAATCTAATGTCCCTGCCCATATTCAAAAGACTTGATCTAAAAGTCCAACCTACTACTATTATCCTTTAGTTAATAGACACCTTTAGTTAATAGACCGTCCATTTACCTATCTAAAAGGGGAAATAGAGAATGCGTTAGTCAAGATAGATAAGTTAATTTTTCTTGTAGATTTTATTATTTTAGATATGAAAGAAGATATGGAGATACCTATTATCTTGAATAGACCTTTTTTAACTACCAATATGACCATGTAGATGTGCATAAGGGAGAATTGATAATAAGAGTGCAATATTATAAAGTGGCTTTCAATATAATGAAGTCAATGAAGTTTCCAAGAGATCAGATGAAAATTGTCATAGAGTGGATCTAGTTGATGCGTGTGTGGAAGATTGTGTGAAGGATTCGTTGATTGAAAGTTCTTTAGAGATTCTTTTGTGTGAGGATGACATCGGAAAGGGTGAAAGATATTCTATTTAGATGGTTTATGAAGCTCCTAAAATTTTTATGGAGACATTTGAAGTGTTTGATACATCATCCATTGGTATGTCATTGAAATCCTTTGTTATAGAGGCACTCATTTTACAGTTAAAAGTTTTGCCTACCCATTTGAATTATTTCTTCTTAGGAGAAACCAAGAGGTAAGTTGATTAGAGTTCTCAATGCTTATAAAAGAGCTTTGGTTGGACCATAGTTGAAATTAAGGAAATTAGTCCAATCTTGTGTATACATAAGATTTAGATTGATAAAATTTCCTTTTCAAAAGCTGATTACCAGAAGAGACGGAACCCTGCTAAGAATGAAGTTGTGAAAAAAAAAGTTGTGAAAAATGAGATACTTAAGTAGTTGGATGAAGGAATCATTTACCCTATTTCAAATAGTGCATGAATTAGTCTTATACATTGTGATCTCAAAAAAAGAGGTCTAATTATAGTAGCCAATGTGAAAAATGAATTGATACCTACTAGGACTTACTAGTTCCATAATATGAATAGATTATAGGAAACTAAACAAAGCAACTAGGAAGGACCATTTTCCCCAGCAGGACATCCTCTTATTTTGCTTCTTAGATGGATATTTAAGATACCATCAGATTCCTATAGCACCAGAAGATCAGGAAAAGACTACATTTACCAATTCTTATGGAATATTTACATTTAAAAGGATGTATGTTGGGCCCCCACTACTTTTCAAAGGTGTATCATATAAATATTTTCTGATTTAATTGAGCAGATCATTGAGATATTCATGGATGATTTTTCTATTTTTGATTCCGCTTTTGATTTTATTTGGAGCTCTTAACAATAGCCTTTAAAAAGATGTGTAGAAACAATTTCGCATTCAATTATGAGAAATGTCATTTTATGATAGTAGAAGGCATGGTTTTAGAAGTGGATAGGGCTAAAGTGTAAGTAATTGAAAATCTTCCACCACCCACTTCTTTTAAACGAATTAAAAGCTTTTTAGGACATGTTGGTTTCTATACGAGATTCATTAGGGATTTTTCAAAATATCAAAAATCTTTGTCATTTACTTGAAAAAAGATGTCCCTTTTGACTTTTTGATGATGAATGTTTTAAAGCTTTGAACATTCTGAAACATCACTTCATTACTGCACCTAGTATTTTTACACATGATTGGACATTGCATTTTGAAAGAATGTGTGATGATAATGATTATGTTGTTCTATAATGGCAAAAAAAAAATTTCATACTACATATTACGAAATGCAGTCCAATTTAACTATACAATTACTGAAAAAGAGAAGTTAGTCATTGTCTTTTCCTTTGATAAATTAAGATCATATTTGATTGACACCAGAGTTCTTATATATACTGATAATTCTACTATCAAAATTATATATATATATATATATATAGCCTAGATTTATAAGGGGAATTCTTTTGTTACAAGAATTTGATGTAAAAATGCTTAATATGAAGGGAATTGAGAATCAGGAGGCTAATCATTTGTCTATATTAGAGATTAAAGAACTTGCATGTAATGAGTGTGACATCAATGAATTTTTTTCATATAAATATTTCTTTGCTTTGCATTTATATGGTATACCTTGGTATGCAGATATTGTGAACTACATTGTTATACATTATTAGTAGTGTTATTCACATTAATGTCTTTTACACAAAAGAGTAAATTTTTACAAGATACTAAATTCTATTTTTGAGATGACCATTCTTGTTTAGAATTTGTAAAGACCAATCATTAGGAGATAAGCCCTTGAAAAGGAGATTAAATCCCTCAAGGCAATGTCATGACTTCGACTATGGTTGCTATTTTGGAGAATTAAGAACTGTTTCAATGATTCTTCAATATGAATTTTACTGGCCTACACCCCCCTATTCAAGGATGCAAATGAATATGTTAAAACATGTGATAGGTGCCTGAGGTTAGGTAGCATAACTAGAAGAAAGGAAATATCACTTAACATTAACATTAGAAATGGAGGTTTTTTATGTTTGGAGACTAGACTGTACAGGAATTTTTATGCAATCTTATGGAAATTAATATATTATGATAGAAGATGACTATATTTTCAAGTTAATTGAGAGAGTTGTAACCCTTAAAATAGATGCTCATATGGTTGTTAAATTCTTAAAGAAAAATATTTTTTATAAATTTTAAACTACTAGAGTTATTATTAGTAATTGGAAAAGTCATTTTTGTAATAAGAAAGTGGAGGCTTTAATTTTAAAATACGATATTAAATATAGAGTTGCAACTACTTATCATATCACCAAACTAGTAATCATGCTGAAATAAGTAATAGGTATATTAAGATAATATTAGAAAAAACTATGAGTCTAAATAAGAAGGATTGGGCTTTGAAATCAGATGAAGCATTTTGGCTTACATGATTGCATTTAAGAAACCTATTGAAATATCGGTGTATAGATTGATCTTTGGAAATGTTTGTCATTTACATTTGAGATTAGATGTAAATGACAAACATTTCCAAAGATCAATCTATACACAGATATTTCAATAGGATTATAATCTTAAAATTATACAAAGAGCAGTTGAATAAGTTAGATGAATTAGAAATGAAGATTATACAACAACAAAAACAACAACAACATCAAGCCTTTATCCCACTACGTGGGTTCGGCTACATGAATCCTTTTTCTCCAATATGTCTTATTAAAAGTCAAATTCTCGTTTAAATCTAATAAAGAAAGGTCATTCCTAATATTTTCTAACCAAGTCTTTTTAGGTCTACCCCTAACTTTCTTAACATAAGTCAAATCTAATACCTCTACTCTCCTAACCGGGTCATCGTATGGCCGCCGTTTTATGT